TATACATATTTTTACTCTCTGGTAAAAACTAAGAAAAAGCTACCTAGTTTAAGTACATTTTTGTTTTGTTTTTAATTGTTTAATTAGTTTTAAAGGGTTTCAAATGTTTGTGGTAACCAATTTTTTTTTTACTTCTGTGGTTTTTTTTCAACTAAACATAATAATATGTTAGCTGGTGATGATGATAATATAAGACAAACACAAAAGCGCGAATTTTAGTAAGGAATAATTAGGGTACCTAGGTGTTATCATTTACTGAAGTCACTAGTCTATTAAAACATTTAGGATACCTAATTTAATTTTCAAACTATTAGATATTCTTGACATAAATAATAATCTGTGCGAAGTAGAAAGTTTACCCGTAAAAGAATAACACAGTGATAATGTGAATGATTTGAGTAGCTGCAATAACAACAACGAATCACAACCACTCAATGAGTTTGGTAAGAATACAAAAGTTTGTTTATAGTATACCTTACCTACCCATTCAAAAAAACTTATAATAATTTAATTTAACTATTAGACATTCCTKATACAAATAGCCAATATTATTTTATTACATATTATTTTTTAAATATTAATTTAATGATATAAAACTGAGTAAACACAAATGACAGCTAAGGCACTAGCTACAACATAACTAATTATGAGTATTATAAAAAAAATTACTAAAACTAGAGTATAATTTAAATTGTTATCACTATACATTTTAATCTACATTTAGCACCAACAGAAACTGGACATTGTTATTGAGAGCATTTCCTCAAGGTTCGAAGAAAATAATAATTTCAAACCAGATGTAACACTTCCAAAAAATGCACTTATTGGAGTGTTTGACAAGATTTGCAATTATTGTCCAGAAATGTACGAAGACTTCCAAAATGAATACATAAACTATATATTAAAATGGAAAGAAATAAAAAAGATATTGACTGTGTATAATACTGAACAACAAGACTATTATGAAAATATTGATGGTAATAACAAAAATAACTAATATTTTTGAATGTATTAATGTACCTACCTACCCGTTTAATATTGATACTATTATTTTAATTTTGTTTTTTTAGAATGTTCAATTGATGTTGAACTTTTAGTATCGTGCAGTCTTAATACAAACACGAATGCAAAATATTGTGTAATTTGTTGCTTTGATGTGCTTTTGAAATATAACTTTTACACAAATGCATATCCCAGTGTGTTTGTTGCGTATAAACTGATGCTGACATTATCTGTGACACAAGTAGGATGTGAAAGGAGTTTTTCTAAGTTGAAATATATRAAAACTACTTGAAAAATAAATTTTAGAAAGTTTCATGCTAATGAATGTTGTAAAAGATTTACTGAATACAATTGATTTAAATGATATGATAAATTAATTAAATGCTAGGAATAGTACATTAAAAAAATTGTTTCCATTTTAATAATTATATTTTTTTAACGATTGATTGTGTAGTGTATAATATATAATGATTTGATTGTTAAAAGTATTGCGAGCGAAGCGACCATTTTTATTTACATACATAATATACATAAGCCCTAGTTATATGAGGCCCCAATAAATATATCCTGGTAAAAAAAGTACCCAACCACCCCTGCCCATGTGGCATGTACATTATGTATCTACTCCCCTCAGCACCCACTGGAAAAATGTTCAAGCGTCGTGCCGTCGTATTTGAGTGTGTAAAACATAACAAATTAAAAATTAAAATTTCGTGAAATACCCACACGAAAGCAAGCATAGATAGGTAGGTAGGTAATGTTGTCGTGTTTTAGCTTGATAGTAGGTCAATTAATTCTATCATTAATTTGCACAATAATAGAACTACTGAACATAAATTTGCCGTGTAGTGCATTGCCGTGACGAACGCACAAMAATGAACAGCTCTGGGTGTGGCATACTCTCATGATTTTGTTTTAACAGGTTTTTTTTTTTTTTGGTGTTTCACTATCCGTCATCTTATTGTCGCCTTTGATTACATAAATCGGCGACGCGGGCGCCGTGATAARTCGCATCCGGCAACTCGATGTACGCTCACTGAAATCTTGCCGCAGTTGTTCACCCTGATCGTTAGATAACCGATACACATTGATAGTAGATACTAGATATCCACTGTCCACTACTCCACTGGCAGGATGCCGATGCACTCGATACACGTGCGCACGTTTTTGTCGACGATATAATTCTGACGACTTAGTCAAGACCATTACCGACCGCGTGTCATTCCTATACGATTTTCATCGATTCATCATCAACCAGCGATTAATTGCCGTTCGCTAGTGTTTCGTCCGTCAAGCCGGTTGCCGCACACCATCAAACGCGATTCCGGCCGTAAAACCTTTGGCGTATCTGTTGGGAAAACGAATCGCGTTCGTTGTTTTTCGTCGGTTTTGCAATAGGTTTCGCACCACCAACTCTTTTGCACTTCGATCAGCGCAGCGCCCACGATGGTTTTACAGTACACAAGCACAGGTACCTACGTTAGACTTACATAAATACAGCGCCTTGTCGACGAGTGTGATTCAGTTTGACTGCGTTAAACTCTTGTAATGTTACAATGTGTTTGTATTTTTTCAGCTGTCGACCCACCTGTAACGTTGCTGAGAGGTGTAGACAGCTATGAAAGTAAGTCTGCAKCTATTTTTTAGTTTGATCTCATTATTTGTTTGATTCTCCAAGTTGAATTTTTAAAATTAACATTCATTTGTTTTTAAAATGAGTCAAATAGGTGAATAAAGACCTATTTATCTGAAATAATTACTAATGACCTATATTGAGTTTTAAATTAAAAAAAAATAACAAACGGATATTTTTGAATTTGTACATAACATATTATTATGTTACTGCTTTAATATATTTTTTTTAAACTATATATTATGTTCCAGACATTTTTTAAAGTTTCAATAGGTAGTTTGAAATAAAATATGAATTATATAATAGATGAGATTTGAAAACAGACTTTTTATTTCACAGTCTTTCCAGTTTGCTCTTAGAAAAATGCAAAAACAGCAAAAATTAACTATAACTTGATATTTGTAGTTCACATCAACATTGTCATAAGTTATAATTCTGAACTGTAGGGTCCAGTACCATAATCATAATTTGTACGTTGTACCTATTATTGGTTCCAGTATTTATGTACATTAATGCAAAATTTAAATGAATAACAAAATATATCAACATACAATTTTTTTTGTGTCAATATACTTTTATTATATTATTTAAAAGTAAAAATCCTTTTTACTTAAAATCTTAATATGTTAATAGTCACATTAAATTTAAAATAAGGTAAAGCAAATTAAATACTTATACATTATGTGTATACATTTAGATTAGTGTACTGTTTAAACAGATTATAATTTGAAACTTTTAATAAATACTTACATTATTAGTGAAGAGGATTTTTAAATTAATTTATACTAAATGTTATTCCTTTTGTAGAAATTATAAACGTTTTTATTAAACCCACACCTAATATTATTATACCCTAATTGGTGAATTAGGTTCATTATTGCCTCGTCTCTGTGTTGTATAAAATTGATCACCTCACCACAAGGTTGATCATCTATTGTATTATGATATTAGTTATTTACTTTTACAAAATTTTAAAAAGTAAAAAAAGAATTTCAAATATGTTTAGTAGTCTTTTCCCTTATTCCATAAAAAATCACATACTATGTAGACTAATCTTAAAACAAAATGTAGAAATATAAAGGAAAATCAATCATAATAATACATTTTTAATTTACATAATTAATATATCTAAGTTTTAGATTAAGTAGGAATACTCACGCCTTAGGTTGAGTGACAAATTATAAATGATTGGTGGCGGGGCGATAAAAAACAAGTTAATTCAAGCAATTTATTTAACACAAATTTATACCAAAATATTAAGTTATTATTTTTGTTATATCAAGTTATGTAGAGTAATTTGTTTATAATTAATAATAACCAACAAGTATTTAACAGTTTTATTGTTATTTTTCTACTTTCAAATGCATAGCTAACATACAGTGCTTAAATTGAGAAAAAATTAAAAGGAGGATGCAAAAGTGTAAACAAAATGTATAGATCTGAATATTTAAATATTTTATTGATTAAAATATGATTAGAAAGGATGAACTTAATTTTTTTTTTTCAAAAGGAACTCTGTCCTCCTATATTACTCCTCAATTTAAACATAGGTTTGTTTCTACCTAATCTTTTAAATTATTTAACCTATTAAAAATAAATGTTGTATAAAGTAGTTCAAATCAATGTACCTACCTATGTCATACTTGATTTATTTTTTAACATCAATTTTGCATACACATGTCACTTTTTAATGTGATAATTAACTACAAACATCAATATTTGTATTTTTTTAACTTTAAATTTAGGTAAAAATTATACAATTTAACATTAAAAATAGGTAATAATTTATATTATTGTTATGTAAATAAATATATTTAAATTATGAAGTGTATTTATTTTATTATTTAAAAAATGTATTATTACTTTTTTTCAGACGATGAACTGATTGAAAATATGTTACCTGAAGATGTGTGGTTTCATGTAGATAATCTCTCATCAGCACATGTGTACCTAAGGTTAAAAGAGGTAATTTTTATAGTTACTAGCAGTGACGGCGCTAGGGGGGGGGGCAATCAGGGCATTTTAAAATTATATTTAAGGCCCCGCAGTTCTTAAATGATATTTTATACTGTTCAGAGATATGTTGGTTTGGATAATATGGTGTCGGCACCAATGCGGTCGGGACATTTGCGGTCGGCACCTTTTGCGTGCCATTTGCGGTCAATTTATTTCTATCTACCTGACTATAAAATTCGGGTGCTATATATATAATATTTTATATACTATATACTGAATATGTTAATAGGTAGCTATAATACTTTTTTGCTATAGTTGAAATTATACTACTGATTATTACTATACTTGTCAAATATATTATATTTAAACTTCCCTTCTCACTTTTCCAGGCTTAGGACTGACTCTTAATTTAGGATCCAATGCATTTCCGAGTGATTTACGCCGTATACGATTCAACGTTGTTTTTACCGATGAGTATACTGGAATTTCAGTCACTAAATCTAATCCCTGTTCTAATAATGGTGTAAACTCTTTTCAAAAAATTTGAGCGGGGGAACATGTTGTATCAAGTGTACATTGTTTTGCAATATTGTATATTTTTTTTACTTCAATTTTTGCTAAGTCATATTTACATTTATGATTGGTAACACTTAAAACTTTATTACCTGTCGTTCTTAATCTTCCTTTGCATTTTTCATCTTTTTTTCTCATTCAAGCAAACCCAGGTTATAATATTTGCGTTATTTGTTCGATACTTTCTATATTGATAGTCGTCGTGTATAGCTAGAGGATGACCTTTAGTTGTATCTATCACTTCAAACGAATTATTCATTTTTAATTTAAATTAAATCAAAACACTGTTAACAAATCGAACTGTAGGTACCAAGGCGTATATAATACTAAATTACTAAACACTGAGTAAATATTGCCGACGATGTTAACAAATGATAATAAAAATAAAATATAATAAAATATATCGCCTTATCTATTATGACATCGAATATCCACAATCAACCAAACGGCTGTATCACAAATTGGTTTATCCATTATAAATATACTATGGCTACTAATGTCTAATATAATAATTGTGTGAGTGCGTGTATTACACAGCGAGTACCTATGTATATAGGTGGAACGTTGTTCGCGAAATGAATCCGTTCGCCTGTACACCGTTTATAATATTATTAGTACAGTGAATTGTGATTGACAAATATAT